CAGCTTTGTGAGTTTATAGAGGCCACCCACCTGATGGTCTGATCTAAGCATGCAAAACTGAATGCAAAGAAGAACAGGAATCTTATCTCCCAAATGTCTTTCTCTTTTTCCTCATTTCTCATCTTATCTACCAAATGTTCCACTCTCCTCCCTCATATCTCATTCATTAGGAATCATTGTTATCTCCAAGTGTCTCCTCTTTCATATTATCAGGTGGGTGGCCTCTATAAACTCACATATCAGTAGGTATGGTTCCCCATAGCTTGCCCTGCACACTTTTCTCTTGAGGCCAGGTGTCTTTTCGAAGTTGTATGTAGAGTGGGCAGATCTGCAGAATGTGCTTTATTGTTTGTGGTACGGTATTACAAGCACACTGTGAGGACTATACAATAGTTATTTTATGCATGTGGTAGTTGAGCCTGTATTGACGGAGTAAACTAAACGACTGGCTGACGGAAAAGACTGACTGGCCGACCAACTGAAGGGGTCAGTGAATGAATATGACTTCTTCCTTTGAGTGGTCAGGTTTCAAAAATATACGTTACTGCAGTACGCAATTATTTAAATGACCAAGCTCTATCCGGACATCACAAGGTGAGAACCATTGATGCATATATTTTTTAAGCCGTGAAAGTAAATTTATAAATGTATATAGCTGCAGGTTTATATTCTTGTTTAGTTTCACTAGATAACAGTTGAAGTTTTGCATCAGTGTTTTCAGCTTGAACACCGGGGGTGTAAGTATGTGCTTTGTTGTAGTATTCCTACAATGTTCGAATAGGTCTGCTTTCATGGACTATTTAGATTTCATTTGCAGAATCACGGAAACGGTAGTTATATAGCACAGTTCATCCCATTAGGGTAGTTATATGGGATAGTTTGTCCAGTTTAAGTAGTCATATAGTACAGCTTGTCCCATTAAGGTAGTCATATAGCACAGTTTGTGCCATTAAGGTAGTCATATAGCACAGTTTATCCAGTTTAAGTAGTCATATAGTACAGTTTGTCCCATTAAGGTAGTCATATAGCACAGTTTGTCCGATTAAGGTAGTCATTTAGCACCGTTTGTCCAGTTTAAGTAGCCATATAGTACAGTTTGTGCCATTAAGGTAGTCATTAAGCACCGTTTGTCCAGTTTAAGTAGCCATATAGTACAGTTTGTGCCATTAAGGTAGTCATATAGCAGTTTGTCCCATTGGGCTAGTCATATAGGACAGTTTATCCAACTGGAAAGATCTGTGGAAGGAGGGATAGAGAAAGACAACGAGAGAAGATGCTTGACAGTCTTGTTGCATGGCATGGAGGTGATACATGCTGCAGGAGATCGCAGTTTATGGAGATCGCCCACGCCAGTCGGCAAGGTACCTGATGATGATAGTACAGTTTGTTCCATAAAGGTAGTCCTATAGCACAGTTTGTCCCATTAAGGTAGTCATATAGCACAGTTTGTCCCATTAAGGTAGTTATATAGGACAGTTTATCCAATTTAATTAGACACATAGCACAATTTGTCCCATTAAGGTAGTCATATAGCACAGTTTGTCCCATTAAGGTAGTCATATAGAACAGTTTATCCAGTTTGAGTAGTCAAATAGTACAGTTTGTCCGATTAAGGTAGTCATATAGAACACTTTATCCAGTTTAAGTAGTCATATAGTACAGTTTGTCCCATTAAAGTAGACATATAGAACAGTTTATCCAGTTTAAGTAGTCATATAGTACAGTTTGTCAAATTAAGGTAGTTAAATAGGACAGTTTATCCAGTTTAAGTAGTTATATAGTACAGTTTGTCCCACTAAGGTAGTCATATAGGACAGTTTATCCCATTAAGGTAGTCATATAGCAGAGTTTGTTCCATTAGGGTAGTCATATAGGACAGTTTATCCAGTTTAACCATACTACATAGGGCCAGTTTTCACCATACAATATAGAGCCGGTTTTCACCATTCTATATAGAGACAGTTTTCACCATTCTATATAGAGACAGTTGTCACCATACTATATAGAGCCAGTTGTCACCATACTATACAGAGCCAGTTTTCAACATGCTATATAGAGCCAGTTTTCACCATGCTATACAGAGCCAGTTTTCACCATACTATACAGAGCCAGTTTTCAACATACTGTATAGAGCCAGTTTTCACCATACTATACAGAGCCAGTTTTCACCATGCTATATAGAGCCAGTTTTCACCATACTATATAGAGCCATTTGTCACCATACTATTTAGAGCCAGTTTTCACCATGCTATGTAGAGCCAGTTTTCACCATACTATATAGAGCCATTTGTCACCATACTATTTAGAGCCAGTTTTCACCCCGCTATATAGAGCCAGTTTTACCATGCTTTATAGAGCCAGTTTTCACCGTACTATATAGAGCCAGTTTTTACCATGCTATATAGAGCCAGTTTTGACCATGCTATATAGAGCCAGTTTTCACTATACTACTTAGAGTCAATTTTCACTGTTACTCCTGGATAATTAATAAATTAGACAAATAATTTCTTGAGACCTCAGAGAGGTGGTTTTACAGAATAATCCTTCCAATTTCTGCATCAACAACAACATCATCATCATGTAGCAGGTCCTTTACAGAACGTAGCTCTCATCACAATCTGCCTGAAAGAAACTCGGTCTCCCCCTCCCCCCTCCCCTCTAGTTCTCCTCATGTACTTTCATAATCAAGGAGTCACAACAACAACAACACAACTAGAGCAACCCAGGTGTTTTGAAAGAGGCGAGGGCTCAGGGATGATACGACATACTGGTCATGTTTTGAAAAGAGGGAAAACAAAAACATGTTGCGACAGCTGGGAAGATTTGTAGAAAGGAGACAGAGGAAGACATCCAAGAGGATTCTTGACAGAATGTTATCATGGCATGAAGGTCTCTCAACACAGGAACGGATTCACGCTGCTGAAGATGGCACATTGTAGTCGCCCACGCCAGGCGGCAAGGCACATGATCATGATGATATCATTCACATGCTTAAAGGGTCACTACACGGCATTCTTTTTTAGTTTATGACAAAAATATGACTTTTTTAATGTGTTCGTTTTTGTAAAGTTCGGCATTCGTAGAATAGATCACATACAAGATTTATGTTATTTGTAAACAATTTAGCATTAAAAAGTTAATCCTAAAGACACCGCCCTAAACACTTTTTTAAAATGAAAGAAAAAAGCTTAAAAGTCAGTTTTCTCACAATTCCATATTTCCGTTTGTTGTGCGTGTAATATCGTGAAATCTCAGACAATATAAAGACTAGAAAGATTAAATTTGGCGTGGATACTCCTTAAATAATATTATAGAAACATGTCTATTTAAAACTAGATTTTAGAAAGTTTTTATTTTAAATTTGATTATTGTCTTAAATTGCTACATTTTTTTTAAACCTTTTTAACAAACTTAGATTTTAAAATTCTACGAAAAATATTTACAGTCATCCTGAAAGTAAATAAGCTATACCTGTACCTCAACATAGGACTAAAGTTCATGAAACCATCGTCTTTTGTTTTTTCAATACCTTTGTTTAGTTTGGACAATTTTTGATTTTAAGTACAAGTAGTTTTTCCCCAAAATGGCGGCTATTCACATGGCAACCATGATTTTTTTAACTCTTTGAGTCCCAAGGAACTCATCATACGTTCATAGATTCCTACCTAGAATCCCAATGAACGCAATATGCGCCGATTTTACGTATCTCTTGTCTACCCATTGGGCCTGTCATGCTAAACCCCTGGGACTCAAAGAGTTAAACTTAAAGTATACAAATATATTAACTAGGGCTGTACCGAATAGATATTTTCACTATTCGGCCGAATACGAATAACGGGACTAATTATTCGGCCGAATACGATTACTAATAGTGTATCATCATCATCAGGTGCCTTGCAAACTGGCGTGGGCGACTATACCTCGCCACAATCTGCGATCTCCTGCAGCATATATTAGTTCGTGTGCTGACACACCTCCATGCCATGCAACAAGACTGTCAAGTATCTTCTCTCGTTGTCTTCCTCTATCCCTCCTTCAACAGATCTTTAATGTGGTCACCACATGTTCCATTTTCCCTCTTCTCATAACATGGCCGAACAATGATGACTGTCTTCTTCTGATGTCTGTGATAAGTTGTCTTCGGGCTCTCCCCTCTTTTAAATCCTCTTGGTTGCTCTTTTTTTTTTTTTTTTGCTGTCCAATATATTTAAAGCATTTGTGTGTGTGTAAAACCAGATCTCTGGGACCTCAAGAAATTGTTTGGCCTGCCTACCGATTGTCCAGGACTCACAACGCATTGCTTTTAATTGTATGCAGTATGAAACACTTTGAGTGTGAAACAAGGAAAAAAAATACTCTTTTTGACAGTGGCGAGGAAATTTTAACTTTTAAGTACCCTCATGCCTTCTTCAAAAATGTCACAATTGTTTGCACCCCTGGCACACTCACCCAGTTTGAGAACCTCTGCTGTAATGCCTCGGTCGAGTCAGCAGGCAAAGACTTTGCAAGCTGCTGTACTACGCAACCGGGTCGCAGTTTCCCCCGCTACGACAGACTTAGGCAACAGCAACTATTGTGTTAATGAGAAAGTTATTCAAGTCCATCCCAGTGTATGCAGAAACGGGTGTAAGGTATTCACTATTCGTATTCGGCCCGACCGCAAGTATTCGGCTGAAAACCGAATAGTTATTAGGTCCACTATTCTGCCCCGAAGCGTATACGAAGCGAATATTCGGCACAGTCCTAGTATTAACATATATCCCTACTAATGACCATTATAAAATACTTGATCTAACACTGTAAATATAAAAATTATCCTTTTTTTTTTTTTTTTACCTGACGCCTTTATCTCAAACGTTCTGACGTAAAAGATTCCATGTCTAGTTTGATTTGGCTGCTTTCTCACTAGATGTTGTAATACGGTTCTATTCTTATTCTCAAAGCCGTATCGCGTAGTTCTATCCAAAGTTACTTTCATTTCAGAAGCCCAATCACACAATATGGCAGCTCAAGATCCATGGTCTCCATTTGAGGGCAAGTACAAGATACATGAAGAGTCCAGAGAGTTCGCAAGATTGCTGATATCTAGAGGGTCTAAGCCCTACTCAGAACTTGGCGTAAAGAAATCTAGATTACAGGCAGAAAGTGTGTGTTCACTTGTAGCTGGAGCAATAGACTTCGACGGTGAAGAGACAGAGATAATTGTACCATCCCCATACACAAAGCAGGGAATTCCCGTTTCTATCTACAAACCAGCTTCTCGACCAGAAGTCCCATCTATACTGATCTACTTCCATGGTGGTGGTATGGTTATTTGTTCCAGAAAGACCCATGAGACAACACTCAAGATCATCGCTAGAGATTCTGGGGCTATCGTTCTCAATGTTGAGTACCGTCTTCTGCCAGATCCTGATGCTGTTTATGCTCCGTTTGAAGATGCTGAAGTGGTCACCAGATGGGTGTTGGAGAACAAAGAAGCTGTTGGTGGGAAACCCAACAGTAAAGTTGGTGTCGGTGGTGACAGCGCTGGTGGGCAGCTTGCTATCGGAGTCACCAACGAAGTTCCTGGTTTGGACTTCCAGATCTTGATCTATCCATTAGCAGACACGTCCTTGTCACAAGACACTGTCCGGGAATTCAAGCAGGTTGTAGGTCTTAATGAAGGAGCCCTTAAATTTTTCTTCGACAACGCTTACAACCATATTCCAGATCTTTTGACCAATCCCAGGGTCAACGGATTGGCAAGAACGAATACTGCGTCGTCACCTCCAGCTCTGATTATCCTGGCAGAGTTGGACCCCTTGACAGGAAGTGGGATCGAGTATGCGGAAAAGCTGCGTGCCGCAGGGGTTAAAGTTCAACTAGAGATCATTCAGGGAGTTCCTCATGGGTTTTTTGGCATGAGAAAAGTCTATAAAACAACCACTGCCCAAGCTTATGACTACATCGTGAAGTTTCTGAACCAGTTTCAGTAGTGTAAATTCTTCTCCTTTTTCTCCTTCTTCTTGTTCTTGTTCTTCTCCTTCTTCTTCATCATCATCATCTTCTTCTTCTTCTTCTTCTTCTTCTTCTTCTTCTTCTTCTTCTTCTTCTTCTTCTTCTTCTTCTTCTTCTTCTTCTTCTTCTTCTTCTTCTTCTTCTTCTTCTTTTGCTGCTGCTGCTGCTATGTTCGCCTATAAAAATGGTGGTTGGCATGCTGTGGTTTATTGCTAAGCTGTGATATTCCCCCCTTTTAGCCTAAAACATTCCATTTAGCAAATCCCTTATTAGCGTTATTATCTGCTGTTTACGACACACGTATTGGGGGCGGTGGAAAAGGGGGGTGGAGGTTAATCTTTCTCTGTCTTAAATGGCGTAAAGCAAGGATGTGCGCTTGCGCCAACTTTATTCAGTATGACATTTGCTGCCATGATTGTTAATGCCTTTGATGATGATGCCTAAATTACCGCACAGTTTGTTTAATTTGAGAAGACGTCGAGCTAAAACAAAAACTAAAATAATTAGAATTAGAGTCCTTTTGCTGACGACTGCGCTCTAAACTCCAGCTATGAGGCTAGTATGCAGCACAACATCAATAGATTTTCTAAAGCCTGTACCAAGTTCGGGCCAACTATCATTATCACTGATAAAACTGTTGTTATCTATCAACCGGCTCCTGGACACAATTTACTGTGATCCCACCATCACCGTAAATGATCAAAGGCTAAGTATAGTCGACACATTCACCTATCTTGGCAATACCTTATCTCAGACAGTCCACATCGGCGATGAGATCAATGTTAGAATCTCAAAGGCCAGCAGCAGTTTCGGCAGACTTTAAACGAGTGTCTGGAACAGAAGTTGTATCTCCCTGCTGACTAAGCTAAAGGTTTACAGAGCTGTAATTCTTCCAGTACTGCTCTACGGTTGCGAAACTTGGACTGGGTATCAGCGCCATGCTAAAAAGTTAAATCAGTTTCATATAACTTGTCTCAGAACGCATGCTCAAAATCAAATGGCAAGAAAAGATCTCAAATACTGTGGTTCTTGATAGGGCAAACCTGCCTAGCATCCACACGATGCTGATGAATTGTCAGCTGCGTTGCGCTGGTCACCTAACCCGCATGCCAGAATATCGCCTCCCAGAGAGAGTATTTTATGGCGAGCTCCAGCAAGGGAAGAGATCCTAGGGGCAACAGAAAATGGCTATAAGGACACTGAAGACTGTTCTCAATTCTTTTACCATCAAAACAGCGACGTGGGGGGAGGGGGGGGGGGCTGCTGCACGAGACCGTTCTGGATGGCGTACATCCCTCAAGCATGGTGCATCAACCTGCTAGGCAGGGGAGGTATTCATCGCTCGTGATAGACCAACAACAACATTGGGAGTGGGGGGGGGAGCGGTGTGATGGCTCAAACGACGCCCCCTCACCCCCCCCCCCCCCCCCACCCCTCATAACCACCTCCCTCAGCCACCCAATTGGTGGAACCCCTTAGATAGCACAGGAAAGCAGTTTAGTAGGCAATAATTATTCGCGTATTTTATTTCACAAAAACAGTTTCATCTGTAAAAACGTCGATGGACTTACAAGCAAAAGAAAAGATGTGATATTGTTAAATAAATTAATGTAATAATCAAATTTTGTTTCATTTATATTTCTTCTTCTTTTTCTTCTTCTTCGTCCTACTACTATTATTATTATTATTATTATTATTATTATTATTATTATTATTATTATTATTATTATTATTATTATTATTATTATTATTATTATTATTATTTTATTATTATTATTTATTATTATTATTATTACTTTTTTCTTACTTCTTATCTTTCGTCTTCTTCTGTCTCTATGTGCCTAATTTTGGCACATTGTTTTGTGATTTACTTCTTGACTGCGACATTTGCACCTTGATGCCCTACACATCTAAACGTCTAACTAGTCGCCTTTCACCACATGCTTGTTAGGAAACATTAGATGTATCTCCCTTTCCCTTTTTCCCCGCCACCATAGAGTCTGTCTTTATAAAATTCATTATTTTTTTTTTTTAAATAAAAATACAAACAAATTACTGCCTGCATCCATCAACTGTTGTTGTGTAATCTAGAGTTTCTTTTTAAACTGATGATTTAGGGTCCTCTGACTAGTGCAGTCACTGCGGTATCTATATGTTAGGTAAGTGCCCAAAATACTATAATTGCTGCCTGTGTTTACTATAAATAAACAGACGGGGAACCTTTGAGGCCGTTAAATATTATGATTTAATCAAGTAACAGAAAGTGTATTGATCGGCACTCATAGAAAGAAGAAGAAAGATAGAAGAACACACTAGACAACATACAAATCGAAAGCTATAATTACCGTTCCGGGAATGAAACCTGTCACCTCTAGACGGCGTGTGCGCCTCACCATGAATACAAGTGCACTAAGAACATGGTCAACTAGGCTATCGTGGCGTAGGCTGGGGAATTTTTGAAACTGAGGAGTTAGGACCGCTAGTGCTGTCGCCATTGACTGTGCAGGTGAGGATTGTATTTTAGCCTCCCGACAGAAAAATAAAACAAGATTCATGAGCTTACCGAGGAATCGAACCATGTCTTCCGCATGAAAGGCCAGCGAACTTAACCGTTAGAATAGCCGTTCTTCCAGGTTCCCTATTTCTCTAGGTTCCCTATTTCTCTAGGTTCCCTTTTCCTCTAGGTTCACTATTTCTCTAGGCTCTCTATTCCATTAGGTTCCCTACACATCTATGTTCTTTACTCCTCTAGGTTCCGAAATACTCTAGGTTCAGTATTACTCTTTCCCACAGCAAAAATTATCTTTCTCCCACACACACACACACACACACACTCACCATAAATTCTTTCTCGCACTCACACTTTCACACTCACACACACACACACACACACACACACACAACACACACACACACACACACACACACACACACACACACACAGACACACACACACACACACACACACACACACCACACTCACACACTATTTACTAAAATAAAAAGTTCACTCTAGAAGATAAAGATATAAACTCTTCTTTACAAGACGATAAACTGTTTCCCCACAAAACAGTAAACTTTGCCTCAAACAATAAACTTTCCCTGCACGCAAAAGTAAACTTTCCCACACTGAAGTTCTCTTTAGAAAAATAAAGAAGATAAAACGTTTGCCCACAAAGTGATAAACTTTGTTTTTCCACAAAACAGTATACCCTACCACAAACAAGAAACTCTTCCCCAAAAAAGAATCTAAACTTTCCCTAACAAAACATTAAAGCCCTTCCCACAAAATAACCGTATCTTTCCTACAAAGCAATGAAGTCTTGGAGCTTGAAAACAACAACAACAACAACAACAAACAACATTACACGAATAATCACATACAGATCAAGGGTTCCCAACTAGATAAGTGTGGAATACGCCGTATATCTTTCGGAGGGAGGGATGGGGGATGTGGGGGGTGAAAAAAAGTGGGGGGGGGGGGGGATAAACGAACACACAGGAAAAACTGTACATTAAAAGAGAATGACTAAATAATTTTTTGTAAGATGTAATTTAAATGTTTTGGCCACATTAAAAGGCATAAAACGTTTTTGAAAACAGTTCTGGGGTAGGGAGTCGAGGCAAGGAAGTAAGAGATATGACAACTACACTAATGGGAGGACAACATCAATAGATGGACAAACAGTTGTCTGAGAGTGTGTGCAAGCACGATAGGAGACAGAGAGTGTTGGAGATCCATCGCGGTCACCCTTCATTGTGAAGACGGCACATAATTGACTAATTTTTTATTTTGTTTTTAACAGATGTAAATCTATACTAAAATGGCCAAAAAATATGTTTTATACCTGCAAAAGATATCAGGGACCTATTAAATGTGTTAGGCAGAACCCCTTGGGGTTTGTTCACCTCCAGCTGAGAACCACTGAAACAGAACCTATTACTTGGGATCTTTGACCCCGCCGATTCCATTAAATAACACCATCTAATCAATGTTTTGGGCCTTTACGTCCTTTCTTCTTTGTCTTACTGATCAGTGGCGCGTCTGTGTTGTCGTAGGGAGATGCCGTTGGGCTCAGGTCACAGTGAAGTGATGACGAAGCTGCTGTGGTTGTTGACGATGATGATGATGTTGCAACTGCTTCCAGAGAGTTAGCTTTACTGGTTTTATTGGCTCGTTCCTCTTCTACTTCTCGGAAGGCATCTAGATCTTTAGCGCTGTGACGTATGTTCTGAGTATAGACAACGTCATTAAAACCTGTGTTGATAAAAACAGTTATCTAAGTAAACTTTGAATGTTACATAATTGTGGTTTGTGTGGAATAAACAGTCCACATTCTGCAAACAAGTAAACTAGATCTGTAAATCAGATGCAAATTTTAGAACAAGACTAAAATCTAGTGCAAAGTTCTGGTTGTTGGCCTACTTCTGGAGTTTGGTCTTCTTCCACAACTTGAGTCAGGCGTGCACATATGTGTGGCTTATATGTATGCAGACTGTTGGCTCCTCGCCTCAGACTTCAAAGGAAAACAGTACCTATGCGAACTGTACAGCACGCATGCTCGGAAGGTAGTGGATCTATTCGCTTTTTCATCTTTATATTTTTCCCCCTTTTGCATAATACCCCTCCCCCAACCTACACGGGGATTTATCGATTTTAAAACGATCGTTGATAGAGTGGGGCATGCAGTACTCTTGGATACTATGAAAATGTAGGCTGGATACAAATGCAGTAACGAGTGGATGTCCTAAAACTGCTGGCATTGTACTACAGTGAATGTGTGTTAATTTTGTAAAATCCGTCAGCCCACGACCGGCTCCAGCTAACCGGCCGTGCTGTTGACGTCACCGGGTCGGGCTAACGATACGTTAACACTGCGATTATCAAACCGGGGTGCCGTGAGCGTATGCCATGAGTGTCGTGGCAATAGTCAAGACAAGTCGGCTAAAAATTTAGAAATTTTTTTTTCAAAAAGCAAGCAGATTCTTAAATGTTAAAATTTAAGTTGTCCTTCCTGGCCACTGTCGAAAATAGTATATTTCTTGTTTGAGTACCGCTGCGTTAACGCATCGTTAGCCCTTCCCGGTGACGTCAGCAGCACTACCCGTCAGCTAGAACCGGTCTGATCCTCGCTAATGATAGAAATTATTTTAGGACGTTATTTAAGTCCAATTCAGTGAAACGCTTATCAACTTCATTTCTATAAAATATATATTTTTGTCTGTGTCCAAACTTTACTATACTAATAGTATGGGTAAAATGCCAATATGAGCCAAAGGACAGCTCTTTGACAAAGACAGCAGCGCCCTCACGCAGAACGGACAAATAGCCAGCTGGAATCTAACAACGGTACCAGTTAGACAAGCTGTCAAATCATAAGACCGTCGACATCTGTAGGTAACCCTAAGACACGCGATGGTATGGGACTATGAAGATGATGCCATTTTTACGTCGACAAGTTTAAAAGGAGTACGTCAAATTTCTGTAAGTTTCCCCCCCCCCCCCCCCCCCCCCCCCCCCCCCCCCCCCCCCCCCGCCACCCCCCATTTAGTCTTTCATCTAAGGTTTCACCGCCCCCCCCCCCCCCCCACACACCCCGGGTGTGTATGTGAATGTGTGTGTGTTTGCGTGTGTGGTTACGTTAAAAATGTTGAATATTGAATCAAGAATCGACATCAAAGCACTCGGGGCACCCCAATAAGCGCTCCGTCCCCATCTCCAGCAGCAAGCGAAAAGTACGAATTCCGATGGTATATTCGTCTCGCCTTTCCCCGGAGTGTCGAGCGTCGGCCGGAGTCCCCTTGTAATTCCTCGCAGTGCCATTCTCCTCAAACCGTAATGATCTATCTGTTCCTCGGCACCGTTCACTTGTTCCCGAAGGCCCCTTACGACATCCAGCTTGGCATGCATGTGGTTACGTTCCGTTACAGGCAATCAAATAATTTAAGCAAAAACTAATCACTTACCTGCAAAATCGATGTGCCACCTACGATGCCCAATATCATATTCTTCAATCCGTTCGAATCTGTGCCCCCATAAAATTTCCTTTGGGAGATAAGAGGTTCTTGCCTGGCACATTTCACCTGCGAATGATCGTGAAAATATCACTTCTGTACATGTAGCTTCCTTACCCATTCAAGGAAAGATATAAAAGCGAACGAAAAGTAGATCCGCAAGCTTCACAAAATAACAAACACAAACGAAATCAGAACGTTGCGGTTAGAGAGATTTCATCAGCACATACACACACACACACACACACACACACACAAACTACACTGATAGTTAACAGACATACCTAAAAGCTGCCACTTTGATGTCTTGCCAGTCGAACCTTACCCACACAGGACTGTAGGTTACATCTTCCTTGTATTACAGGGGCCCTAATGAAAACTTCTGTGGAGGTTGAATGGGGTATCTTGGAGCTACCTTGTTTGTCTCCCAACCAGACTGAGATTTTCTTTTTTAAATCGCCTTATGGTATGGTAAAACTTTAGGTTGCAGAATGGACTTGACAAGAGGGGCGAGGGGTGTCGGTCCCTCTAATAAGTAAAGGACCCTTTTCCACGCCTTTATGCGTATAGGGCATATATGGCTAGACCTATATTTTATAGACCAATCGGCACTAGATGGGTGATGTGGTCAGCATCACGCCGGCATCCTTTACTTCCCGGGACTGCACCCGGTACAAGCTCAAGGCTGGGTCGACCTGTGAGCCAATGGGTTCATTGGTATACCAAAGTTCGTTCTCTTTGTTAGTGGCTTTGACCTATCTTGCCTTTTCACCAATAAGATTTGTTGACCAATACGATTTTTTTTTTTCTAATGAAAACGGCTTTCTGACCCTAACCAAAAGACTCAAAAGCGATCCTCGATATTAAACGAAAAACTCGCATGACTAATTAAGTTATGGAAATGATGTCTACGATTCACGCTTGAAATAAAATAACAAGAAACTATACAGGCTATTGAACAGTATACCATGAAACTATTTATGATAGCTTGTGTAATAAGATAAAACTATGGTAAGTTCGACGTTAGTCTCCCCAGATCCCGCCCATATACACACTGGCTCCTTTCTGATTTTAGTTCCCGAGCCTGTGACCTTCGCACACGGTTACACTTTAAAAACATGGAGAGAATTGGTCTAACACAACACCCCTAGAGAGTGCTGCAACCTATGTCACAGGCATTCTTTTTCTCGGAATGAAAACGTAAATGCAAGACATCGCAGAAACCAAACAACAGAGCGGGACACACCAGTAACCTTCAGGAAAGTCGACTAACCCAATAAACTTGTGAATGAAAACTGACCTACTCTATGGAGACTAACTTCGAACTAACCCAAACTATTTATGGAGTGAGGCGAGGTTCTCTTGTCTTTCTATTCAATGTTGAAGCCATAAGGAGCTATTTTCGTTCTCTGTGCAAGTTCAAACTTTGACGCCAAGCGTGTTCGCTGTGCAAGTTCAAACTTTGACGCCAAGCGTGTTCGCTGTGCACGTTCAAACTTTGACGCCAAGCGTGTTCGCTGTGCAAGTTCAAACTTTGACGCCAAGCGTGTTCGCTGTGCAAGTTCAAACTTTGACGCCAAGCGTGTTCGCTGTGCAAGTTCAAACTTTGACGCCAAGCGCTGTCTGTAGTTTTCAGTCATGCGGTGAGTACAATCACCAGTGACAAAACAAACCGTTTCTTCTTGCAATTTGACAAATCTGTCTTAGCACACATCTGCCCTGGGGTGGTTTGGGCCAGTGCATCTCTATCTCTGGGCGTCGAACCACCCTTTCACAGATGGTCGTCTAAAACCATCGAAAAGTATATAGTCGCGGAAGCTTTGAAGTAGCAACGAAAATAATGTATGGTTGGGGGTCACCACAACACGAGGAACTGTATTAAAGGATCAATCCCAATAGGAAGATTTAAAACCACAGGTTTGGGCATAACCACATGCATGGATATCACGAAAATCACTGGATCTCGCGGAGGCGACATTTCGTGCTACTTCCCATTCATGCAGTGGCCGTTTCCCATGGGCTGTCTTATGTCCTAGGGGTGTTAGCATATACGTCCCTTCCTATTCGACGTCTATACACACCGCCCGGAACACCCACTTCCGTTCGTTCGAGGTCTGAGACGAAATTGCGCAGCTCTCTTTCGTGGCAGGCGACGTTAAGCCTGCGGTTTTTTTTTTTTTAAAACGCTTCGCCACTCTGCTTGCAGCTTCCCAGTGCTAAAAGTTAGAGAGATTTCCCCTCGTAGGTCAAGTCACCAAGTAAGGCGGTGATGATAGCGAATAAGAGCCAACGCCCAGCGCTGTTAGACTCACAGTGGAATACACAGCTCACAATGTGGAATATAAAATTCTTTGAGCGTTGAAAATAACACGAAACCCCTGAAACAGGACAGTCAGTGGGACCGGCGTAGATGGCAGCCTACCCGAAATCTCACGCCCAGCGAGATGTGATATGTACCACCACATGTCAAGGTGCACCAGGACATCGCTCATGCCATACACCTCTCTACTCTCTTCGAAGAGATAGTTTCCCGGCCGAGAGTCTGGCCAGCCTCGACAGGAATGACTTTTCCTTTGAAGTCGAAATGCATCTGCCTGAAAGTCGAGAACCAACAATCTGCACACAGGTAAATTAAATCTGTAAAATACGGACGTGCACGCAGAACTTACGTCCTGGAACAAGACAAAAGTCCTGACGGCAAGAAACAATCAGGGATTTCCGACGAGGTTTACAACCCATGGAGGCAAAGAAAAAGGCACATTAGCAAAACCACAAAGATAGTGTAGAGGTAATTACCATGTAATTATTTTTACTATATGACTAAGGCATACCTGTAGATTCCACCGTGCCCGACAAGTATAGAACAATCTCGAATTTCTCCGAGCTCAAATCGGCAGGTCGAATGTCGTAAAATGGGCTGCCCTTGTCAATGACGTGGGTTAAAATGATTGGCCACAAGAGAAAGACTCGATCTGCCATCCCATTTGCTGAGAACTCACAGTTGAATTGGTACAGCGGGTAGTATGCTCCTTCTTCTGTAGAATGGCGGCGAATCAACATCCCAGCAATGGAGGTATCGACCAGATGAGATTGTCTTAGATCTCCTACACGAACCTGTGGAAACACAACAATGTCTCTTATCTCTTTGTTGTTGTTGTTGTTGTTTAACCTCACCAGGACAATACAACGAGCAACTAACACCCGGGGAAACAAAGTGCCACCTTTCGGACGAAGATCACCAGGACACAAGTCCTAGAATCTCTGTTCAACCCATAGGTGTGGTTATATTAGGGCTCCGGAAAACTGCCGGAATGGGGATTTATAATAACGAAAAATTGCGTCCCTTAATTCGACGCGGCGCAAAAGGTTTTATAGCAGATGTCAAAGGGAGAAAGTAATCATTGGAACTGTCATAAGTGTATGGCTTTTTTTTTTTTTTTTTAAGAAAAGAATAAATACAATGCAAACTGGACATTAAACAAGTCAGTTTGATTTTATGGACCAGTGGGAACTTGGTGGCTTTTGTGGCTAGCATTATACCGGTCGCCTTTACTTCCCATGACTTTACCTGGTACCCATTCAAAGCTGCCTAGACCTCGAAGCCATGTCATTTTTTTTATCCGGCTCCGACAGGTCGCGAACCCACAACTTTCCGATCCGCAGGCGAGCGACTAACCCCTGTATCATTTTTTACCCCCTCTTTCCACACACCATTTCAGACCTGGAAATCGACCTCCTGTAAGCAAACAAACAGAATGATGTGCTCAAAACTATAGAAAATGAAGTGCTTACTGCGAGCGTACCGTTTACATCAGAGATAAACATACACGAGAAGTTCATTTGTCCAATATGATTGTGCATGTGTGTGTGAGTGTGTGTGTGTGTGTGTGTGTGTGTGTGTGTGTGCGTTCGTGCGTGCGTGCATGTGTGTATGTGTGTGTGTGAGTATGTGTGTATGTGTGTGTGTGTGTGTGTGAATACTACCGCCTCTAATAAGGCCATTAGTCCACTATTACGACATGCTTGTTGGACAGGCAGTGGATCGACTCTTACTTTTCTCACAACTGGACCCCGGAACCCACACGGGGAGGGGATGTTACAGCTTGATAACCTTATATCCTACCTTCAGTGCTAGATCCGATAACCTTATATCCTCCCTTCAGCGCTAGAACCGATAACCTTATATCCTCCCTTCAGCGCTAGATCCGATAACATTTATCCGGATTGCATAATTAGGTTGTTGCATCCCCAACAAGCATATCGTAAAAGTCGACTAATTAAGAGCTTTCTCTGAAATCTTGCCTGAGAGGCAAGGAACCGACATTCTGCATACTATTAGGTCAGATCTGTGAAACGGTTGTGCACGCAACACTCATGTTCTTAAACAAGACTAAAGTCCAGATGTGACTGATCAACCAGAACTTTCCGCCGCACTTTATAGTCGGTGAACGCGAAGAAGAAAAATAAGCTATAGAAGCGGCTGGTCAAAAGGTTAAGGAGGCTGGGCTTTCATGCGGAAGACCCAGGTACGATTCTGTGGTGAGGTTAGGGATTATTTTTCGGGAGCAGCAAATAAAATGAAAACCATAACTAGTCCACGGTGCAGCACTAGCCAAGAAGGCATTAATCCTGGGTCTCAAAGAATCCTCTCAGAAACCATCTTCAATACATTAGATTCCATGTATTTTCTTAGCCTTCTTCTCTCAGATGGTCATCTCCACTATTTGTCTCCCGTGAGTTGTGGATTTTTCATTGTATACAGGATAGGCTATTGAAATATTCGCCCCGCATATCTGCACATGTTAATGGATTTCTAAATAATCTCCAAGTGCGCGTCAGTTACTGCATATTCTATTTTTAGTTGTACATAAATTATTAGTCACGCAAAGATCAAAAATATTCACCGCTTTAAGAAAATAGCAGCACCTGTGCAATAGTGAATTATACACTCAAAGAGAAATGTGAAGTCTAATGCCACATGGGGAAAAATCGTGTTGATTCTTACAGGAGTTTCTCTAGAGTTAAAGTGTGAGGCTATGACATGTAAATGCACAATGGGTTCCAATAACATTGTTCCTACCTGAAGAACCAGCTTTCCATTCTCCTGGTTTACCACTGCGTGTCTGGAGAAGAGGATGGTATTGGCTCTGTATTTGGGTCGAGCGATCTTGACAAAGATTAACCCCAGCATGAACGTCTCCATCAGGAATCCCAGCGTCACCTGGTGGTCAAACGAGGACATCTGTGTTATCTTAAGATAAAGGTAATCGGTACGAAAGTTGAGGGCGAAGGTAGGCCAAGGGAGAGATTGTTGGATAGTCTGGCATTTCGACATTAAAAAGAATCTCTGTCAGACATGATTGACAGTACATGAGAAAGAGGGCTGTGGGGAGATGTGATTGCCAAAGCAATGCTTCGTGGACTATAAGATTGACGGCACAGGATACAGAAGTTTGTAGACAAACATGAATACCAACATCACCTGAACTATAAGATCAACATTACTCGCGACAAAAGCCTTTGGGACAGACATGACGAATAACCTCCCAATGACATGGGCTTTGTGACTGGCGTCCATTCACACGTGTCTCAGGGCTTCAACCGGTCACAGAAATATGGATATTTTGTAGCCGAGACCTCAGTTAAGTGAATTTGTATATTCTCGTTTGTAATGGTAACAATGTTCGTTTCACTAAGGATTGAGTGCTGAGCTAAAAATTGACATCCCAGCACTCTGGATATTCCCATAAGCACTCCATCCTCATCTTCATCGGCCAGCAACAGGTTCCAGTTTTGATAGTACCAGTGGTAATCTGATTATATGTCCGTTGTGCCTTACCTCTGAGTGTAGAGTGTCGACCAGATCGCCTGGTCACTGGTAGCTGTACCATTATCTCCAGACCATAATGATTTAATTGTGTCTCTTCATTGTTGACTTGCTCAC